ATCATACAGGGGATCATACTGGGATCATACAGGGATCACACAGGGATCATACAGGGATCATACAGGGGATCATACAGGGATCATACTGGGATCAGACTGGGATCAGACAGGGATCACACAGGAATCATACAGGGATCATACTGGGATCATACAGCACGTTATGCTGGGAAGTGTGGGGATCAAACAGGAATGTGACGTTTTTCACTTTATTTGAGGATTCTCAGCTTCTTCTGCAACATTACAGAAAAATCTTATTTTTCAATGTTCCATCATCTCCTGTAATACTTACAGCTGTGATGAAATCACAAGTATTGGTTTTATTTTGACTCCAAGATTGTTCACACAGAGTTTGTAGTTGTGGAGTTTAAGAGGTTAAAGACTCATCATGCATCATCACTGAACAATGACTCATTCAGGAAACAAAGAGAGAATGGTACTTTGGTGCCTTTCAGGATGACACATGTTCTAAAATATTAATGAAGACAGCAACCAACTAGACAACTAGTACTGGAAGAAAAGCAGTGGAATCTTCTTGAGTTCATTAGTGAATTCTTTTCCTAACCTGGCTGGAAGACTGAAGCCAGCTACTTAGGCTCACTACATTTATTCATTTTATATTATTCACCTTATTTTTAAGTGTTTGTCATGATTGCAGCATGATGCATGATTGCAGTATTGTCTGTCTGATTACAGACGTTTTAGGCACAGTGGTTGGTAACGTTTGTCCTAACTGTTGCACTGCATAACTGAAGTCACTATTACGTATATTACAGCACCTAGAGATGAGTGTTGGTGGGATTTGGAGCTATATCAATATAATTAAGTTAAACTGTGTAAACTTGTATATCAAAGAATCAGGATTGTGTTTACTAAAATGATCTACAAGCTTTCTGCATACACTCTGTGGTTATGCTCTCCTCCTCACAGAGTCAGAAGGGAACCCCACTGCTGACACTGATGAAGGATCCATATATAATAATAGCAGCAGGTAAGGGAGTGGTAGTACACAGTACACAAACATCATGTCAGTGAGATATTGTGTTTTTTGATGGCTCTGGGAAGAGAACAGAAGGAAACAGCAGCCAAACAGAGAGCCAGCAATTGCTTTGTTGGTCACGCAGAAAAGAATATGGCTCCAAATTGTGTTGTGAGGTGAGTGCTCCACAATCAATCCACCAAAATAAACACTGTGACCTTATTGCAAATGCAGCTGCTCATAGTAAACAGCTGTGCCACTTCCTCTGGCTTTTATGGGTACGCTCAAGAATGTCCCTGTCGAGATGTAGTAATGTTTGCAGTACAAAGGGTACATGCGTACAACATACAGTTCGGGCATCCAGGGCGGTCAGAATCCACCACGGTCCCTGACATGGATTATCTTTGCTACCACTCATCCTCAGGCAGCATTAGAGCTCGGAGCGTTGAATTGTGAGCTTTGCCTTTTGCATAGTGCTCTTTATGACGATAACTATCTCGATAGTCAGACAGTCTGCTACAATAGTCTAAATAAAATCACAGATGGGTTGATTATAGCTGCAGTTTTTCTTTAGCAAATTTTCCAGGTACATGTTGAAGCAGAAGATATACATGCCTTGATTTATTAATTTACCTTAAAAAGCACAAACATACTCAAGTCACAGCTTCTGTGGGAAGACTGAATATGACAAATGATTATTGTCATCGTTTGAGCGATACTGTCATTCTGGCGGACTTTTCCTCAGATATGATCTTTGCCAAAGGAAAGCCACTCTGAGGTTGGCCTGCACCGCTCTCCTTTTACACACTGTTGTGGGTGATTCACATTCATAACACAGGTCTGCAACCACAAAGCTGCATGGGGTTAAATCACTGTTTCTTATTTTCCATCTGGTTCAGTTTTCTTGCAAAACTCATGTTTTCAGTGTAGTTAAGCGAACAATTTCCCTTCTTAAACTGAAATCTGATACCTGTACTTGAGTCAAAAACCCATATCCCATAAAGGTTTCATACATTAATGTAATATTCCTACGAGCGAGACTCGAGAGAAATACAAATAGAAAATGGGAGGAAATGAGGGGGAGGGTGCGGTGGGTTTGATGGTGTGAGACGATCAAATCCAACCAGGTTTATTTTGTTCACAGCCAAAGGTAAGAAATCACAACAACGATGCTCATTGTACTAAAATGTTGATTTTCAGCTTTTTTTTCATGTAAACTCTTCATGTTTTGCAAAAAAATAACTTCATGATGGAGGGAGATCATCTTTGGATTCAGGACCCAAAAAACATCAAATTGACCAAAAATCCGCCACGCACTCGTTTTGTTTTTGCAGACCTGTGTCATGGATCACACTCAGCCTGGTCCATCAGTCACTGTAAGGCCTTTGTTTGCTCCTCGTGTCTGTGAAATGTCAGCTTTTCCCTGCATGTCAATTATGTGGCAACATGGGAAGAAAGAAAGCAGGCGTTGCTCGCACGCTCGTCCATGTGTCGACGTCGGAGCTGGTGGAAAAACGTCAGGTTAAAAACAGACGATAATTGACACCGCACTTATCTTCAATCTTCATCCCCAGGTGCCATTTGTTTTGGAAATATGGCTATTGGCATGATGGAGCCAACCGTGCCAATCTGGATGATGGAGACCATGTGTGCCAGGAAATGGCAGCTAGGTATTTACACAGCTCTGCACACAAAGACACACGTTGTTACAGCACCTTTATAAAAGGCACTGCTGAGCATCCTTAACAGCACACATGCACCACTGAGCTTGGAAAGGTTTGTGTTGCAGGTGAAGTTTATGATTACAACCCAAACTGCTTCTGTTGTTGTCGAGCACAACATCCTCGCCCAAGTAAATTAACACGTCCATGATCATGTCTATTAGGTCTGTCGTATTATAATTACACAACCAGAATGATCATTTTTGTGTAACAGCACAGTCAACCACTGTTTACAGTTAGAGTCCTTACAGCTCGTATACAATGATTATAATTATATTTTCATACAAATATCATGGAGGCAGTGAAACAGAGAAAAGAGACAGAAGTGTCCTTGCACTGCTGTGTGAATACCACTCATCTGTTTCACAGTAAATATCTGCACTAGGGCTGCAACGATACACAAAATTCACGGTTCGGTTCGATACTTTGGTGTCACGGTTCGATATTTTTTTGATACAAAAAAATGTTCATGCCTTTTTAATTTGTCATTTATTAAAATTATAAATATATATTTTAACTCAAAAGTACAGTTTTTAAATTTAATGTTGCTGAAACAACAAAGTAATAAAATAATAAATCTATCT